GTATGTGACACTGGTGTTCCGTTTGTTTGAGAACTGACCAATTACTTCCTGTACTTATGCATTACCTGAAAGCGAAGAACTTGTAAAATTTTTATTACGGATTCCACATGGGATTTTAAAGACACCTGCAGGGAGACAATCGATCATCGAGCACGATAGAAAGAAACTATGATTAAAGTAACCTAGCTTGAATCAAGGGCTGCAAGAAGACATGCAGATTTAGATAGTTCTTTAACAATATGCTGTGATCGAAATTCTATATATTTACAGTTTAGGACCAAATACAGAAAATTATTAGCTGTCGTACCATAATTGGTGTTTAAGAGATTTCATCTCCAATAATCCACCTTTCAAACTGAAGTCTTAAAATTTCCTCGCATCAATCAATAATTGAAAAAATTTGAGTTTTCATTAGGAAAAAATCAAGACATTTATTCCCACAAGGAAAAGATGTAGAGCATTAAATTATTCATCAAGGGCCTTTGTCGCTGAAAAGGAACTTTATTTTTATAGCTGTGACAGTTTTCAATAACATTAAACGAGGAAAATTCAACACTCTTTCTTCACAAGTTTTTATTGAAAAATCTATTATTAAAGTACAAAAAGTAAGTTTTGTTCCTTACATTGTTATTGACAGAATCTGAAAAAGACATTTATTTCCTCTTAGACCAAGACCAGGTGTAAAAACAGAATTTTAATATAGCTTGTTCATCAGTTAAACAGGGTACGTTCTTTGCACTAACGAGTTTCCGCTTCTAATCATGTCGCTTCTTCGATTCATGGCAGTTTCGTGCGTTATAATTTGTGGTACAAAAATGCACAAAATACTTGCATTGACAGAAAGTGATAACACTTGGTTATCAATAAGCGCAAATGAAGCATTTTCGTACTTTATCGAACACAAAAACCATCTCCTTGATGTGGGGAAAGTATCGACCTTCTTGGTGAGTTTAATAAGCGAGTGTGCCCTGAGATGCACACGGCTTGCCTCTTGCTTATCTTTCAATATAGAGGAAGCGTCATTACACAGGACAGAAATTCTGTGTGAGCTCCTGGCTGAAGATCTGCACAACGCCTCGCGTCATTTCCAGCGTAGTCAGGAATTTCACCACTGGAGCAAGATAGTAAGTAATTGTTTCCTCCTTCACATTTGCCATATTATCAATCGTGCATATTGCCCCGTCTCAAATGCGCACTTAATTCGACGACAGTCGAATTTTCGAGAACTTGCTCTTTAAATTACCTTTTAATCGGCATAGAAATGTAAAGAGATTAGCGTCAAATAAAATTGAACAATGCGTTTCGATAAAATAGGATATATGCACGACATCCTGTTTTTCATTTAAAAATGGAATATTTCTTAGTTTAATTTTGCCCTTCAGAAAGAAAAGTCAACAAATGTTACTAAGAGCTGACTGTTGGACGATAGAAGAAAACTATATGGAGATCAGAAAAGGATTGTTTGAGTTTTGACCTTTAACTTCCGTGACAGAATAGAATATAACTCCTTCCGTACATTATTACCCCTACACCAAACATTATGTTCGTGAAAAGAAAGGAAATATATTACTGACTAAAGATGTTCACAATTTATAATAAATTATCGTTGTCGGTTCTTTAGGAAAAGCGTGGAAAACAGTCAGATGTGGAGAGAATATTTACTAAATTTGGGTTGTAACGAGTAAAAACACAAATTTGGGCCTGTTAATTATTTAAACAAAGTTCAGCCCTTGTTTAACAAACCATGTTCTAAAATATCTTCAGTTTAGCTGAATCTTTCATCTGAACATTTATTTTTGGACCAGCAGTGTCGAGAGGGCCGAAAGCTAGTGGTGGATGGACATTTATTTAATCAAATCAACCCTTTTATAGAGAAATCCGGAGGCCCACTGCTTGCGTAAAACCTCGTGTAAATAACCAGCCCAAAGCAGCTGTCACAATTTATTGTAAACATTTCAAATATTTAACTTTTCTAGATGCCTTGTTCACATTTCCCATGCAATAACGGAGGAACATGTATTCCTGATTATAAGCGAGGATTGTATGAGTGTTTATGTCCCATTGGCTACCAAGGCAACACTTGTCAGCTACTGAATAGTGACCTGTATGGTAAGTTTCAGTCAACTCTAATACTTAAGTAGCGCACGACATAGCAATTTTAACATTTAAAGAACCGATCTCGCCCTAAATAAAGGATCATAACGAGGTTTTTCTAGCTATCATATTTTATTATCATGAAAGCACCCATAGAAAATTATACAGGAAATTATCCAGAAGTGTCTCGCCGTAAAAATCTGTGTGATTCGCTCCTATGGTTGAAGGGGTTACTTATTCTGAAGATTAGCCCACCAGGGATCAACGTTGTCAGGTTTTATTTGTACTAAAGTACTGAGATTCCACAGGATGAGGAGTTGCAACACTCTTAGCGCATGAGCGAGTTTTCTACGGTGCTTTTGCGTAACTAAGTGTCTGAGATAAGGTGTAATCATAATTTCTTCTCAGGCATTGAAGAGGAAGTCTTAGGAAACCATAGGACTAACCCAGGAATATCTTGCAAGGACATTGCAGACAGGCGGGGTGACTTACTCACGAATGGAGAGTATTGGATTGCACCCACTGCATCAAGCGACTCTTTTGTAGTGTACTGTGACATGACAACTGATGGAGGTAAGACTGTCCTACACGTAATACGATTTGATTTACTTTTCCATATCAAAAGCTTGACGCGTGAAAATCAAAATTTAAAACTTTTAAAAAGATTACTGTGTTGAACTCTTAGACAAAAGCTAGGAACACCCCCAATTGTAACAGGTTATTATTATTATTAAAAAATATTTAAAGAGGGAGCCCAGCTCGCCATAGCGGTTTTCAGTGGGGCCCTCAAAATGAACAATGTATAAAATAAGTAATCACGTAATTCATAAGTAAAAGCTCACAGTGGGAATTATGAAATATCTAAAACATGATATGAACAGAAAATAACAAAATCGATGAGCAAGAGATGACACACTAAACGAACTTATTAATATTCAAAATGTTTAAGCAATGAAATTTTAAAAGCATCGTAAGGTAGACATCTCATGTCTTCTGGAAGGAAATTCCAGTATAGCTGTCAATGCAAGGATCTGAGTAGACCCCAGTTCGTGTTTGATCTAAACAAAATAGGACAAAAATCTCACGGAAAAAATTCTCATGGACTAGAAGCTGGTCAAAAATCCTCGCGTCTGAAGTGTCAGTGAATTTTGTAGTTGTATGGTATGAACCATAAGTTACTGATTGCTCCCATACGACGAGATTGAATTTTTCAGATATCAAACACTTACTTGGCTAGTCAGCAAAATTGGACAAAAACTCTTGCCGGCGAAATATCTACTACCATTTGCAACCCCACGAGACAATCTTCCTCGTGCTCTGTCTTCATAAGAGGGTGCAATTTAACTTTGATTACGTGAATTGTGTCCAAGGTTTTAGCCAAATACATAGAAACAATATGGTTTATAGGGCTTCATTGAACTTTTCAAAACCATCAATGCTTGTACAGTTATTG